AGCGAGTTATTGCGACAGATACGTGAAGATTCTCTTTCTTTCTTTTTTTTTTTTTTTTGTTCTCTTCTCTTCGTATCATCGTTGAGACAGTCACGATTTTGTTCGCGCTTTTGCCGTAAAAGTTTTGATATACAAATGTTTGTGTGCACACTTTCAAGTGGAGATAATTGAGAGGAAAGAAATAGATAAATATTGTATAATAACGGAGTTGTTGGTATTAATATATTAGATACTGTTTCTGTTAATTTGAATTGTTTAATGAATGAGCTTCGATTTATAAGTATACTTTTGTTTTTTGATTACTAGAATCGGTTTTCAAAAATGTTTCGCGTAAATTGTGTTAAAATATCGGTTTTGCTAATCAAATAAATATTCGGTAATGAAAATTATTTGTGGCGAACGAATAAAAGGTATTTGATTTTAAAGATTGTCTATCTTCAAATTAACGTTAAAAGCAAAATATTTATCCTGTTGATAAAAAGAATACAAATTTGGAATGAAGAAAAATATACAATGTATTAATGCACGTAAATGGTTGTAAATGAAAGTTAGAGTATGTTGTGAGTGTATCCTGTTAAAATGAATATATGGATATTAAAATTAAAATTCAATTTTTACTTGCAAACAAAAAAAAATAATAAAATACGATAATAAATAAATAAATAAATACGAAAGGAAAACATGAGAAGTAAAAAATGAAATTTTAATACGTGAATCGTTGTAAATGGATAAATCTTTTAAAAAAAAGTCTGATATTAAATATAAAAGAACGTTAAACGTAATGCGTAAGAAAATCTGTATATCAAAGAACTTCTAATATTAGCTCATTAGAAGATTTTTATGAATTTTAAACATCAAGCTACGATTCTGAATCGCATTAGTAGGAGATGATTAAGTACCTGGAAAGCAAATAAAGAATTAAATTATATTCTCTCGTACTTCTGCCTCTGTACACTCTGTATGTAAGCTCGGTACAAAGCTCTACGTTCCAGAGAGGTTACGTAGTAAAATCCACCAAGACGAAGCACGTGCACATGCTACTCTGGATTATCTTTTTCAAAAGAAATAAAGAGAGGAGAAAAAAAATTTCGAGATATTAATTTTCGTTTTTAAACGTAAATGGATTATGAAACAGATTTTTACGATAACACGTAATAATAATTCTTTTGTAACAATAACGATAATACCAAAAGAAACTAAATATTAAAATTCGATTCAATCTTAATAATTTATTATGAAACTTTTTCGAAATTCTTTTCTAAATTCTGATGAAAAAAACCAAAATTTCGTCATATCGAAATTAATCGAGTCAATACAAAACTTACTTTTTGAATTTCGATAAAAAATTTTATCATATTACTTGAGTCAATACGAAATCTGTTCTCCAAATTTTTAAAATTCGTCACATCGAGATTGAATCGAATCAATAAAGAACGTACATTTTCGAGACATTAGTAAAAATATCGTATTAGAAAAAAAAAATGTACAAGTGTACATAGATTTAAAAATATCTCGTATCTCTCTATAAATCTTTATGAATCTGTTTTTCCGTGCGATTTGCAATGCGACGTACAATGTCCACTTCACTGTCGAGCAAATACGTTTGGAAAAAGAATAGGGGGAGCGCTATCAGGATTTTCCTCCGCCATTATAGTCAGATTCCTGCCGACTCTTTAAGCCTCTTTAACCAAGCATCTCATTTTAAATCTTTTGACAATGGGTTAAAATAAATCGTAATCAGATATTCCTCTCCATTCCTCCTCTGGAATCTTTTCTCTTCCCCCTTTTCTCTCTCTATCGTTAATAAACTTCAAAATCTTTCAAAGACAAAAAGGAGGATATGGTTCGTGGAATGATTTCCATTAAACATCGATGATCATACCTCGATTTCGTGATTGAAATAATTTTTGCACAAAAAAGAATATTAATTAAATTGATCCTCGCGATGAAGAATTATTCTTCATCAAAGATTTATTATTAGATCGGTTGATTAATAATTGAATAAACCCTTACTTTCTTGCGGGAAGAGGGAAGAAAGAAATTATTCAAACGTGGAAATTCCTTTTCGGTTCTTTAACTGACATTGAATTATATGTATATATATATGTACGATAAATTGAAATTGATTCTCTTTTCTTCTTTTTTAACAAATTAAAAACATTTAATAAAATTTCCCTCAAAGAGTAAACACTGCTAAAAAACAGGACAATTAATATTTCCTATATTTCTATATTTACATTGCAACGAAAATTAAATAATTCAACGAAATTATTCAAAATATATTAAATCTGTGACG